GATTGAATCCAGACCTTAGAGTTATATCAGTGTTTACAGTGGAATTAAATATGGTTTCTGGATTCACTTTGATCTGACTGTATATTAAGGCATAGTAAGTAACAAATATATTGACTGTAGACAAATCATATCTTCCTAGAAACAGATCAGAATGTGACCAAATCCTGGTTATTGTTGAGTTCAGATGAAAGCATACACCCACCCACACACACACACACACACACACACACTCTCTCTCTCTCTCTTCTCTTCTCTGTTGGCGAGCTATTTTAATAAGGAAAAACAACCTGTTAGTGATTCATCAGCAAGATCCGAGAATAACCCTACCCTGTAAGGGCCTGCTGAACAAGACACAAACAAAGGAGCAGAGAATGTGTTTTCCACCAGACAGACAGACAGAGACTGGTGACAGACAGACAGAGACTGTTGACAGAGAGGAGGGTGACATCAGCTGAACCATGGAGGTCAGATCACTGTTGACAGAGAGGAGGGTGACATCAGCTGAACCGTGGAGGACAGATCACTGTTGACAGAGAGGAGGGTGACATCAGCTGAACCATGGAGGAAATATCACTGTTGTTTATGTGCAGAATACAACAGAGGGGTCACATACTAGTTTACATATTTAGGATTGTTGTTGTTATTGTTGGTCAAATGGATCATGGTAGATTATGTGTCAACATCTAAGCAGACCTAGACATACCACAACATCAACTGAAAAGGAATGTACTGTCCTGGACTGTTCTGAATGACCCAGTAGTTACATAGGTCAAAACATGTAACCGGAGGGTTTCCGGTTCGAATCCGCCGGTAACTGGACGATTTCTGGTTTGAATACCTGAACTGACATGGGGGGGGGGGGGGGGGAATCTGAAGGGGTGGGCAGGTAGCCGGAGAGTTAATGGCCTCAATATCCAATTTTTTACTTTCCCCTGTTGTGCTCTTGAGCAAGGCACTTTACCCCTGTGTTGTGTGTCAGCTTGGGTACTGTGACAGCAAAATAAAATAAAAAAATGGTCCGTGCAGACCGATAAAGCAAGTGTGACATCCAGTACATCTGCACTGCTATGCTCCGTGTAGCTCAGTTGGTAGAGCATGGCGCTTGCAATGCCAGGGTTGTGGGTTTGATTCCCATGGGGGGCCAGTATGGAGAAAAAAAAACTGTAAGTCGCTCTGGATAAGAGCGTCTGCTAAATGACTTAAAATGTAAAAATATGCTGTATTCATAGAGTAATACAACAAAAAAGGTACAACAACAAGGTCTGTAGAACTTAGGAGAAGTATAATGACTTTACAGTGGGATGTTATGAACAACGGTTTCAGGATTTAGCTTGCTTTTTTCATTCTCCATTAAAGGGACCAGGTTTAAACAGTTAGTAAATCACTAAATACTATAATGCCTTTAAAGGGACCAGGTTTAAACAGTTAGTAAATCACTAAATACTATAATGCCTTTAAAGAGAACAGGTTTAAACAGTCAGTAAATCACTTTATACCATGGCATTGTTGAATACTTGTTTCTGATTGGCTTGAAGGGCATTCTAGAGCATGCATTATTTCCCTGTAACGCACAGTATATTTGCATGGTAAAATTCAATGGCTAACGTTCATTCTTACATGTTCTATGTTTGAACTGCTTTTGAAAGCAAAAGTCAAATTGAAAACCTTATTGGCATTGTTGAATTTGATTTTCATAATGGCAAGCTAGGACTGATGGTTTGGTTAGCTGAACTAGCAAGTCTGTTTGTTTGGTTACCATGGCAACTACTGTAGCTACAGTTGAAATGGGAGGTTTACATACATCTTAGCCAAATACATTTAAACTCAGCTTTTCACAATTCCTGACATTTAATCCTAGTAAAAATTCCCTGTTTTAGGTCAGTTAGGATCACCACTTTATTTTAAGAATGTGAAATGTCAGAATAATAGTATAGAGAATTATTTATTTCAGCTTTTATTTCTTTCATCACATTCCCAGTGGGTCAGAAGTTTACATACACTCAATTAGTATTTGGTAGCATTGCCTATAAATTGTATAACTTGGGTCAAATGTTTCGGGTAGCCTTCCACAAGCTTCCCACAATAAGTTGGGTGAATTTTGGCCCATTCCTCCTGACAGAGCTGGTGTAACTGAGTCAGGTTTGTAGGCCTCCTTGCTCGCACACGCTTTTTCAGTTCTACCCACAAATGTTCTATAGGATTGAGGTCAGGGCTTTGTGATGGCCACTCCAATACCTTGACTTTGTTGTCTTTAAGACATTTTGCCACAACTTTAGAAGTATGCTTGGGGTCATTGTCCATTTGGAAGACCCATTTGCGACCAAGCTTTAACTTCCTGACTGATGTCTTGAGATGTTGCTTCAATATATCCACATAATTTCCCTTCCTCATGATGCCATCTATTTTGTGAAGTGCACCAGTCCCTCCTGCAGCAAAGCACCCCCACAGCATGACGCTGCCACCCCCGTGCTTCACGGTTGGGATGGTGTTCTTCGGCTTGCAAGCGACCCCCTTTTTCCTCCAAACATAACAATGGTCATTATGACCAAACAGTTCTATTTTTGTTTCATCAGACCAGAGGACATTTCTCCAAAAAGTACGATCTTTGTCCCCATGTACAGTTGCAAACCGTAGTCTGGCTTTTTTATGGCGGTTTTGGAGCAGTGGCTTTTTCCTTGCTGAGCGGCCTTTCAGGTTATGTCAATATAGGACTCGTTTTACTGTAGATATAGATACTTTTGTACTGTTTCCTCCAGCATCTTCACAAGGTCCTTTGCTGTTGTTCTGGGATTGATTTGCACTTTTTCGCACCAAAGTACGTTCATCTCTAGGAGACAGAACACGTCTCCTTCCTGAGCAGTATGACGGCTGCGTGGTCCCATGGTGTTTATACTTGCCTACTATTGTTTGTACAGATGAATGTGGTACCTTCAGGTGTTTGGAAATTGCTCCCATGGACTTGTGGAGGTCTACACATTTTTTCTTTTCATTTTCCCATGATGTCAAGCAAAAATGCACTGAGTTTGAAGGTAGGCCTTGAAATACATCCACAGGTACACCTCCAATTGACTCAAATGATGTCAATTAGCCTATCAGAAGCTTCTAAAGCCATGACATCATTTTCTGGAATTTTCCAAGCTGTTTAAAGGCACAGTCAACTTAGTGTATGTAAACTTCTGACCCACTGGAATTGTGATACAGTGATTTATAAGTGAAATAATCTGTCTGTAAACTATTGTTGGATAAATTACTTGTGACATGCACAAAGTAGATGTCCTGCCAAAACTATAGTTCGTTAACAAGAAATTTGTGGAGTGGTTGAAAAATGAGTTTGAATGACTCCAACCTAAGTGTATGTAAACTGTATCTAGTAAACTTGCTAGCTACTTCACTAGATGTTGAACACATTTCTACCGGCAAATGAACACATTTCTAGCGGCAAATGTGTTGAATTATAGCCATTGTATAAAAGGGTTAATCAAGGGACCAGGTTTAAACAGTCAGTAAATTACTATATACTGTAATGAAACAGGCAGGGAGCAGGTCTCGAACCCTCAACCTTCTAGCCCGAAGTCCAACGCGCCTTCGACTGTGCCCCAAAAGCTTGCGTGGCAGAGTCGATATCCGCGCTTATAACCCCAGGGTCATTACACAACTCCCTCCTTTCAAAGTCCACGTCCTCGAGCTAGCCTACAACTCAACGTCTTACAGGAACGCGCTCACCGGCCAAGCACACACACATTCGTGGATGCATGGTCCGATCACTTCTGACACCAATGTAATGAAACAGGCAGGGAGCAGGTCTCCAACCCTCAACCTTCCAGTCCAACGTAAGGAAACAGGCAGGGAGCAGGTCTCTAACCATCAACCTTCCAGTCCAACGTAATGAAACAGGCATGGAGCAGGTCTCCAACCATCAACCTTCCAGTCCAACGCGCCATCGACTGTGCCCCAAAAGCATGCTCGCGTGGGAGAGTCGATATTCGTGCTTATAACCCCAGGGTCGTTACAATACTATAATGTCTTTAAAGGGAACATGTTTAAACAGTCAGTAAATCACTATATACTATGTCTGTAAAGGGAACAGGTTTAAACAGTCAGTAAATCACTATATACTATAATGTATTTAAAGTGAACAGATTTAAACAGTCACTAAATCACTTTATACTATAATGCATTTAAAGGAAACAGGTTTAAACAGTCAGTAAATCACTATATACTATAAGGTCTGTAAAGGGAATAGGTTTAAACAGTCAGCAAATCACTATATACTATGTCTTTAAAGGGACCAGGTTTAAACGGTCAGTAAATCACTATATACTATAATGTCTGTAAAAGGAACATGTTTAAACAGTCAGCAAATCACTATATACTATGTCTGTAAAGGGAACATGTTTAAACAGTCAGTAAATCACTATATACTATGTCTGTAAAGGGAACAGGTTTAAACAGTCAGTAAATCACTATATACTATAATGTATGTAAAGGGAACAGGTTTAAACAGTCAGTAAATCACTATATACTATAATGTCTTCAAAGGGAACAGGTTTAAACGGTCAGTAAATCACTATATACTATAATGTCTTTAAAGGGAACAAGTTTAAACAGTCAGCAAATCACTATATACTATAATGTCTTTAAAGGGACCAGGTTTAAACAGTCAGTAAATCACTATATACTATAATACCTCTAGTACATGACCACACATCAATCCTCTCACCTCACGGGAGAACTAACTAACAGGAACATATATGGAATATATTGAACAGACGTGTGCTGTTAAGATGTGTTTAACAGATGTAGAGACAGTTACACCTGGGACTGTGTGTGAGTGTGTGTGTGTGTGTGTGTGTGTGTGTGTGTGTGTGTGTGTGTGTGTGTGTGTGTGTGTGTGTGTATCCTGTAAACTAAGTGTGTGTTCTCTGTGGTGTGTGTAGGTGATGCTGGGTAGTTGTGTGTGTGTGTGTACACTCAGTGTGTGTTCTCTGTGGTGTGTGTAGGTGATGCTGGAACAGATGCAGGGTCTGATGCACCTGGAGTTGGCCGGTTGTAATGACTTCACGGAGGCCGGCCTGTGGTCCAGCCTGAATGCACGGCTCACCTCGCTCAGCGTCAGCGACTGTATCAACGTGGCAGACGACGCTATCGCTGCCATCTCACAGCTACTGCCCAACCTGTCAGAGCTCAACCTACAGGCCTACCACGTAACCGACACAGCCATGGCCTACTTCACAGCCAAACAGGTAGGGTTACAATCCTACACACTTATAGAGAGCACACAGGCGCAGGTACAGGTACACACACACACACACCTTCCCTTTTCCCTCTCTCTTCGTCCCCCTTTGTGGGCCCGTGGATCAATCCACACCCGCCTCCGCCTCCCCCTAAAAAAGGAACTCAGTCGGGGTCTCAACTTACTGTTGAGAGTTAAAATAGTAGGATACACAAGGTGCAATTTCTAAATGTGGTTGTGCATCAGCAGTTATTTTCTTGTTATGTCAGTCACTGACAGTCACTCAATTAGCCCATGTCAGCTCCATTTAGATTACACCCTACTATACTACACATTACTATACTACACACTACTATACTACACACTACTATACTACACCCTACTATACTACACACTACTATACCACACCCTACTATACTACACATTACTATTCTACACACTACTATACTACACACCACTATACTACACACTACTATACTACACACCACTATACTACACATTAATATACTAAACACTACTATACTACACACTACTATACTACACCCTACTATACTACACACTACTATACTACACACTACTATACTACACACTACTATACTACACACTACTATACTACACACTACTATACTACACACTACTATACGTTAGTCTAGCGGCCAGCTATCTAAACTTGTTGTAAGCATGGTTAATTACCGGCCGGGGGTCCCCCATTGATCATCAAATATCATATTAAAATCGGCAAACATGTGTCTCCACCCTTTGGCAAAATGTGTAGAATTGCAGAAAACTTGCTTTAAAACTGCTATATTTTCTCTACGCCACATGGCAAAATGTGTAGAATTGCAGCAAACATGCTTTAAAACTGCTACATTTTCTCTACGCCACATGACAAAATGTGTAGAATTGCAGCAAACTTGCTTTAAAACTGCTAAATGTTTTGCTCGCAAGGTGGGGGGGGGGCACCAAAAGACTAGGTCCTCTCATGATGAGTTCAGATTACTGTGGTCCCTCATGATGAGTTCAGATTACTGTGGTCCCTCATGATGAATTCAGATTACTGTGGTCCCTTATGATGAGTTCAGATTACTGTGGTCCCTCATGATGAATTCAGATTACTGTGGTCCCTCATGATGAGTTCAGATTACTGTGGTCCCTCATGATGAATTCAGATTACTGTGGTCCCTTATGATGAGTTCAGATTACTGTGGTCCCTTATGATGAGTTCAGATTACTGTGGTCCCTCATGATGAATTCAGATTACTGTGGTCCCTTATGATGAGTTCAGATTACTGTGGTCCCTTATGATGAGTTCAGATTACTGTGGTCCCTCATGATGAATTCAGATTACTGTGGTCCCTCATGATGAGTTCAGATTAATGTGGTCCCTCATGATGAATTCACATTACTGTGGTCCCTCATGATGAGTTCAGATTACTGTGGTCCCTCATGATGAGTTCAGATTACTGTGGTCCCTCAATATGTTTTCAGATGTAGGAGATATACTCCTAAACCTCTCTCTCCTCTCTCTCTCTCTCTCTCTCTCTCTCTCTCTCTCTCTCTCTCTCTCTCTCTCTCTCCTCTCTCTCTCTCCCCCTCCATCCCCCTCAGGGCTACACTACTCACACGCTGCGTCTCCACTCGTGTTGGGAGATCACCAACCATGGTGTGGTTAACATGGTCCACAGCCTGCCCAACCTCACGGCTCTGAGCCTGTCAGGCTGCTCTAAAATTACTGATGACGGGGTGGAGCTGGTAGCAGAGAACCTGAGGAAGCTGCGGAGCCTGGACCTCTCCTGGTGCCCACGCATCACTGACATGGCCCTGGAGTACATCGCCTGTGACCTCCACAAATTAGAGGAGCTGGTACTGGACAGGTGAGAGTGTGGTATAGTAGTGTGGTGTATAGTAGTGTGTAGTATAGTAGGGTGGAGTATAGTAGGGTGGAGTATAGTAGGGTGTAGTATAGTAGGGTGTACAGTATAGGGCGGCGCACAATTGGTCCAGCGTTGTCCAAGGTAGGGGAGGGTTTGGCCGGCAGGGATGTGGGTTCGTTTAACACGGGGGGCCAGTATGAAAAAAAAAAAAATGTAAGTCGCTCTGGATAAGAGCGTCTGCTAAATGACTAAAATGTAAATGTAAAATGTGTAGTATAGTAGGGTGGAGTACAGTAGGGTGGGGTATAGTGGGGTGTAGTATAGTAGGGTGTAGTATAGCAGGGTGTAGTATAATAGTGCATATTATAGTAGGGTGTAGTATGGTAGGGTGTAGTATAGTAGTGTGGTGTATAGTATTGTGTAGTATAGTAGGGTGTAGTATATTAGGGTGTAGTATAATAGGGCATATTATAGTAGGGTGGAGTATAGCAGGGTGGAGTATGGTAGGGTGTAGTATAGTATAGTAGGGTGTAGTATAGTAGTGTGGTGTATAGTAGTGTGTAGTATAGTAGGATGTAGTATAGTAGGGTGTAGTATAGTAGGGTGTAGTATAATAGTGCATATTATAGTAGGGTAGAGTATAGTAGGGTGGAGTATGGTAGGGTGGAGTATAGTAGGGTGTAGTATAGTAGGGTGGAGTATAGTAGGGTGCAGTATAGTAGAGTGTAGTATAGTATGGTGTAGTATAGTAGTGTGTAGCATAGTATGATGTTGTATAGTAGAGTGTAGCATAGTAGGGTGTAGTATAGTATAGTATGGTATAGTATGATGTAGTATAGTAGATTGTAGTATAGCATGGTGTAGTATATTGTAGTATAGTATGATGTAGTATAGTAGAGTGTGTGGTGTAGTATAGTAGTGTGTAGTATAGTAGGGTGTAGTATAGTATTGTGTGGTATAGTAGGATGTAGTATAGTAGTGTGTAGTATAGTAGTGTGTGGTATAGTAGGGTGTAGTATAGTAGAGTGTGGTATAGTAGTGTGTAGTATAGTAAAGTGTGGTATAGTATGGTATTGTGTAGTATAGTATGATGTAGTATAGTAGAGTGTAGTATAGTAGGGTGTAGTATATTAGGGTGTAGTATGTAGGGTATAGGGTGTAGTATAGTAGGGGTGTAGCTATATGTAGGGTGTGTATATTATGGTCTGTAGTTTGTGAGTATAGTAGTGTGTAGGTTAGCTAGTGTGTAGCTATAGCTAGAGTGTGGTATTTTATGTAGGGCCTTGTTGTAATATAGTAGAGTGTGGTTTGTAGGGTAGTGCTGTAGTCTAGTATGAGTTGTGGTATAGCTAGGGTGTTAGTATCGTAGGGTTTAGGGGTGAAGTGTGTGGTATAGAAGTCAGGGATTTGCTGAGTAAAGGCCTATACTACATTATTTCAGAAAGAAAACCAGTATAGTATGAAAAGTATAATTATGGTCTCTCTCTCTGTCTCTCTCTCTCTCTCTTCTCTCCTCTCCACTCTTCTCTCTCTCTCTCTCTCCTTCTCTTCGCTTCTCTCTCTCTGCTCCTCTCTCTCTCTCTCTCTCTCCCTCCTCACTCTTCCTCTCTCTCTCTCCCTCTCTCTCCCGCTGTCTCTCTCCAGATGTGTGAGGATTACAGATACAGGTCTAGGTTACCTGTCCACCATGTCTTCTTTGAGGAGTCTGTACCTGCGATGGTGCTGTCAGGTAAACTACACACTAGACCCTTAGACCAGGGATCATCAACTAGATTCAGCATAATTACAAATAATTAGTAGACTGCAAGTTGACCTCAAGAAGCCTAAACAGATATAATATTGGACTAAAACAGAATCATTTGAAACCTTTGTAAGAAGTTTATTAGGTACACCCATCTAGTACCTTGCCAGTTTATTAGGTACACCCATCTAGTACCTGGCCAGTTTATTAGGTACACCCATCTAGTACCTGGCCAGTTTATTAGGTACACCCATCTAGTACCGGGCCAGTTTATTAGGTACACCCATCTAGTACCGGTCCAGTTTATTAGGTACACCCATCTAGTACCTGGTCGGACCCTTTGCTTCCAGAACAGCCTGAATTCTTTGGGGCATGGAAACATTGCTCAATTGGTGTCAAGGGACCTAACATGTGCCAGGAAAACATTTCCCACACCATTACACCATCGTCACCAGCCTGTACCGTTGACACCAGGTAGGATGGGGCCATGGACTCACGCTGCTTAAGCCAATCCTGACCCTGCCATCAGCATGACGCAACAGGAACTGGGATTCGTCGGACCAGGTGATGTTTTTCCACTCTTCAATTGTCCAGTGTTGGTGATCACGTGCCCACTGGAGCCACTTCTTCTTGTTTTTAGCTGATAGGAGTTGAACCCGGTGTGGTCATCTGTTGCAATAGCCCATCCGTGACAAGGACCGACGAGTTTTGCGTTCCGAGATGCCGTTCTGCACACCACTGTTGAACTGCGCCGTTATTTGTCTGTTTGTGGCCCGCCTGTCAGCTTGCACGATTCTTGCCATTCTCCTTCATCATTGAGCCCAGGAGGTTGGATATTTCTGAGATACTGGAACCAGTCTGCCTGGCACCGGCGATCATACCATTCTCGAAGTCGCTTAACCCTCCCGTTGTCCTAGGGTCAAAATGACCCGCCACTGTGTTGAACCAACTTTATTTATTTTTTATTTTTTGGGGATCATTTGTGAGAAGGAGGCAGTGAGACTTTAAAGAAAGTATCACTGCCTCCTTCTCACAAATTATCAAACAAATATAAAAATGAAATAAAGTTGGTTCAACACAGTGGCGGGTCATTTTGACCCTAGGACAACGGGAGGGTTAAGTCACTAGTTTGGCCCATTCTAACATGCAATGGAACAGTAACTGAATGCCTCGATGCCTGTCTGCCTGCTTTATATAGCAAGCCACGACCACGCGACTCACAGTCTGTAGGAGCTAACCATTTTCATGAACGGGGTGGTGTACTTAATAAACTGTACCTAATAAACTGGGAATAAGTTTGAACAGATTTCCAAAATCAATTGGAACTGCCTTGCTGGTGTTTTTACAGTATTTTATGTCCATCAATAAAAAATTATAAAAAAAGTTTTGGTCCATTTGGGGGAACCCTGACCAAGACCCTACACACACCCTACTATACTACACACTACACCCTAGACCCTACACACTACACCCTTTATACTAATACACGACACCCTAGACCCTACACACTACACCCTTTATACTAATACACTACACCCTAGACCCTACACACTACACCCTTTATACTAATACACTACACCCTAGACCCTATACACTACACACTACTATACTAATACACTACACCCTAGACCCTACACACTACACCCTTTATACTAATACACTACACCCTAGACCCTACACACTACACCCTTTATACTAATACACTACACCCTAGACCCTACACCCTACACCCTTTATACTAATACACTACACCCTAGACCCTACACACTACACCCTAGACCCTACACACTACACCCTACACACTACACACTACACCCTAGACCCTACACACTACACCCTTTATACTAATACACTACACCCTAGACCCTACACACTACACACTACTATACTAATACACTACAAACCCCAGACCCTACACACTACACCCTTTATACTAAACACTACACCCTAGACCCTACACACACACCTTTATACTAATACACTACACCCTAGACCCTACACCCTACACCCTTTATACTAATACACTACACCCTAGACCCTACACACTACACCCTAGACCCTACACACTACACCCTTTATACTAATACACTACACCCTAGACCCTACACACTACACACTACACCCTAGACCCTACACACTACACCCTTTATACTAATACACTACACCCTAGACCCTACACACTACACCCTTTATACTAATACCACTACACCCTAGACCCCACACACTACACACTAGACCCTACACACACCCAAAAACACCCTACACACTACACCCTAGACCCTACACACTACACCTTTATACTAATACACTACACCCTAGACCCCACACACTAACAACCCTTTATACTAATACACTACACCCCTAGACCCTACACACTACACCCCCTTTTTACTAATACACTACACCACCCTACACACTACACCCTTTATACTAATACACTACCACCCTAGACCCTACACCACTACACCCTTTATACTAATACACTACACCCTAGACCTACACACTACACCCTTTATACTAATACACTACACCCTAGACCCTACACCCTACACCCCTTTATACTAATACACAACACCCTAGACCCTAACACACCAACCCCACCACCCTTTATACTAATACACTACACCCTAGACCCTACACACTACACCCTTTATACTAATACACTACAAACCCCACCCTACACACTACACCCTTTATACTAATACACACACCTAGACCCTACACACTACACCCTACTATACTAATACACTACACCCTAGACCCTACACACACCCCATAAACACCCACTAACCTAATACACACAACACCCTAGACCCTACAACACAACCTATACTATACACTACACCCATACCCTACACACTACACCCTTTATACTATACACTACACCCTAGCTACACACCCTTATACTAATACACTACTACCCTACATACACCTACTAATACTCCCCACCCCAACACTACACCCTTACTACTATACTACACACCTACTATACTACATACACTACACCCTAGATCCCTACACACTTTTATATTTAATCCTAGATCTACACCTTACCTTTAACTAATAACTCACTTGAACCCTAAAAATCCCTTTTTCAAAGAGCCCTGACCCACACACTACACACCAATTTACAATACATTACACCAGACACACATACAAACTACAATTTATACTATACAAAACCTCATGAATCACAGACTAAACAATTTTTCAAAAACACCTAACCCTAAAAACATTGACAGGTCAGGAACACCCTCAAAATCCTCCATCAGAGCTTTAAAAACCACAATCACCCAGTCTCCAGTTTAACATATTTTGTAAGGTTCCAAGACTGGCGCACACACTACAACTAAAACTTATACCAAATTACAGTCGCATCCTAACAGTCTACAGGTACTTTAACACTACACCCTAACTACATACTACACACTATATACTACACACACTACCCCTAACCCTACAAAACTACACCACTACTATACTACACACTACACCCTAGACCCTACACACTACACACTACTATACTACACACTACACCCTAGACCCTACACACTACACACTACTATACTACACACTACACCCTAGACCCTACACCCTACATACTACTATACTACACACTACACCCTAACCCTACACACTACTATACTACACCCTAGACCCTACACACTACACACTACTATACTACACACTACACCCTAGACCCTACACACTACTATACTACACCCTAGACCTTACACACTACACACTACTATACTACACACTACACCCTAGACCCTACACACTACACATATTACTACACACTACAACCCTACACTACACACACTACTATACTACACACTACAACCCTAGACCCTACACACTACACACTACTATACCACACAACCTACACCCTACACACCACTACCACACTAAATACACACACCACACCCTAGACCCTACACACTACACACTACTATACTACACACTACACCCTAGACCCTACACACTACACACTACTATACTACAAAACACACCCTAGACACTCAACTACCACTACTATAATACACACTACACCTATACACTCACACTACTATACTACACACTACAACCTAGACCCTACACACTAACTACTATACTAACACTAAACAGACCAGGTTTTTCAACTCAGGTCCGGGGGCCGAAAAACCCTGTTCTAATCCCCTACCTACCCTATCCCCTAAATTTGACTACACCAGGTAGTGCAATTAACTACCAGGTAGAAATAAAAAACAGAAGTGTTTTGGCCCTCCAGGACCGGAATTGAAGAACCCTGCCCTAGACCCTAGTCCCTACATACTACTACCACCCTATCCACTACCTCCTACACACTACTGTAGACAAGTTAATGAAGGAGTAAGAAATGCTCAGGCTATCAGACCAATCCTGCTTGTGTCTATCTAATAACTCATTAATGTTTTCTTATTATTAATGATAACTCGGGTTGTGTGTGTGTGTGTGTGTGTGTGTGTGTGTGTGTGTGTGTGTATATAGGTGCAGGACTTTGGGCTACAGCACCTGTTTGGCATGAGGAGTCTGCGTCTTCTCTCTCTCGCAGGTACTCTCTCTCTCTCTCTCTCTCTCTCTATGCTTCCTCTCTCTCTTCTCTCTCTGCTTCCTCTCTCTCTCTCTCTCGCTCTCTCTCTCTCTCTCTCTCTCTATGCTTCCTCTCTCTCTCTCTCTCTCTGCTTCCTCTCTCTCTCTCTCGCTCTCTCTGTCTCTCTCTCTCTCTCTCTGCTTCCTCTCTCTCTCTCGCTCTCTCTGTCTCTCGCTCTCTCTGTCTCTCTCTGTCTCTCTATGTCTCTCTCTCTCTCTCTGTCTCTCTATGTCTCTCTCTCAATTCAATTCAGTAGACTTTATTGACAAGGCAAGTTTAATTACTTACATTGTCAATGTATACATATAACAAAACATTGCATGAAAGCCAAAACAAAACTAAATGGGAAATATTATTGACATTATGTGTCACTTTTCACTGGCCGTCCCTCAGGAGGACACATGTTTGGCTTTTCACCCAATAAATATTAGATTTGTTCTTCATCTTTCTTCATCTTCATATTTCAAATTCTTTGTACTGAATGATCATTTTGGGAAATAAATATTATCTTAGGTCTGAGTATTTGTCACAGTGTAATAGGAAATGCAGCTCTGTCTCTACCTCTCCCCTGGAGCAGAGTGAGCACAGCCTGTCCTCTCTGGGTAGCCAGGTTTGCCTGTGACAACCGGTCTCTATAGCCAGACTGTGCTCACTAAGTCTGTACATAGTCAGTGTTTTCCTCAGTTTTCTATCAATCACAGTTGTCAGATAGTCTCCCACCATGTACTGTCTGTTTAGAGCCAAATAGCATTGAAGTTTAATTTGATTTTCTGTTGTGTCTTTCCAATAGGTGATATATTTTTCTTTTTGCTTTGTGATGATTTGGTTGGGCCAGATCTTCTGAGTGCTGTCCTGAGGCTCTATGACGTTGGTTTGGGTTAGTGAACTGAGCCTCAGAACCAGCTGGATGAGGAGACTATTCTCTTGTTTCATCTCTTGACATTGTAGGGCTGTGTGATTAAATGTTTTGGGGTCACTTGTTTTTAGATGGTTGTAAAATTTGATGGCTATTTTTCTATTCGAATAAGGAGGGGATATTGGCCCAATTCTGCTCTACATGCGTTATTTTGAGTTTTTCTTTGCACTTGCAATACAGTCTTGCAAAACTCTGCATGCAGATTGGATGTTTGTCCCATTTGGTGAATTCATTATTAGAGAGCGGACCCCATACTCCGCTGCCATATAGAGCAATTGGTTCTATAACTGATTGGAACATTTTGAGCCAGATTCTAATTGGAATTTTGATTTTAATGTTCCTTTTAATGGCATAGAATCTTCTTGCTTTGTCTCTCAGCTCGTTCACAGCCATGTGAAAGCTACGTGTTGCTGATATTTAGTCCTAGATACGTGTAGTTTTTGGTGTGTTCTAATAGAACTGTGTTCAAATAGAATTTATATTTGTGATCCTGATTTCCGGACCTCTTTTGGAATATCATTATATATATATATATATTTTATTTTTTTTTTAATTTTTAAAAAAAAATTTTTTTACTGTCAGAGACCAGGTCTCTCTCTCTCTCTCTCTCTCTCTCTCTCTCGC